TTCTATTACTACCTACTACTACCTACTACTACTAGTACTACTACTACTACTGCTGCTGCTACTACTACTACTGCAACTACCACTACCACTATTACTACTACAACAACAACTACTACTACTACCACTACTACTACTACTACTGCTACTACTACTACTGCTACTACTACTACGGCCAAAACTATTATTTTTCTTACTACTGCTACTATTACTGCTAATGCCACACTACTGCTATTACTTCTGCTATTACTTTCACCACCCAAACAGCATGTGGCCTACGTTTCCGGATTCCGAGGGGGAAGCTTTCAGGATTACGCCGCCCTTTCTCTGCAGTCCATCGGGTTCCGGGTGTTCCCTCAAGTCTTTTCAGGAATGCCTACGACACCTTAGAGTTCACAGGATTCCATTGGATTCTTGCGGTGTCCTTAAGTTTCTGTAGGGTTCCAAGGGTGCCACGTCACCTTTCAGGGCTCCTCAGGGTTCCAGTGGGCTCCACGGCATTGCCTAGGACCCTCAGGATTCCTCCGTCTTCGCCAGGATTGCCCAGGATCCTTTTTAGGATCACGTGGGGTTCTCCGGATTCCTTCGTTGTTCCTTCGGATTCCTATGACACCTCAGGATTCTGTAGGAATCCCTGATCATCCCCAGGTTATTGATGGCTCCCTGAGCAATCCCTGATGAATCCCGCAGGGTTCCCAAGATTTCGCTAGGGTTCCTCGAATATTCCAAGGTTATTTATGGCTCTTCAGATCTCCTGTGGATATTTGGAGGTTTTGCACGGTTTCCTGGGATCCTTCCAGATCCCAAGGATATCGCAGGGTTCCTCAGGATTCCTCACACATTTCCTCAGGATTCCTTGGTGGTCTTCAGTGTTCTTTATGGATACCCGGCGGATTTTTTATGGATTCGTTATGGCTTCCTAATGGATCCCTGATGGGTTCCCCATGGGTCCCCACAGGTCCTCCGTACTTCATTACATAAAGGTGTTTCACTTGCCTGGTAGATCCCCTTTGGAACTCATCGCAGCATAGTGTCTGTTTTTTTCTGGAATCTGGAGGCGTTCAATTTTCCGAATGGACTTGTTTCGACATTCCATGCGAAGCAGTGATTTCCTTTTGGGGTCTGAAGGCTTTCCATTTTCCTTGTCAGTTCGCTTTCGCATGCAGTACAAAGTAACGGTTCCCTTTTGGAATCTAGAAGCGCTCCACTTCCCCGACGAAAATCCGATGTAAAACAACGCTTTCTCTTTGAATCCGCAGGTGGTCCATCTTGTTTGTGGATGCCTTGTGAAAACCGAATCAAAACATTGGTTTCCCTGGAATCGGGAGGCGCTTCATGTTTTTGAGACCCATCAGAAATTCTTGCCTTTTTTTTCTGGGATCCAGATGTGTTCCATTTTCCTTAGTGGCCCCTTTTCGAAAATCAACGCGCCATTTTTTCCCAATCCGGATTGCCGAAGGGGTTCTTACTAGGTTAAAAAAACTGGCGCTTCCTATTGTTACTTTGCCCGTTGTTCGGAGGTTCCTCGGGTTCCTTGGGTTCCTTGGGTTCCCCGCCCCCAGTGCTTCTCATCCCCCAATTTGGCTTGACTAGAAGGTTCTTACTTGGTGAAAGTTTGGCGCCTCCTATTGTTGCTTTGCCCGTTCCCCAGAGGTTTCCCTGGTTCCCCGGGTTCCCCGGGTTCCCCGCCCCGGGGGGTTCTCCGGATTCCCCGGGTTCCCCACCCCCGGTGCCTCATGCCAAGCAATGTGAAGCAACGCCAAGCAATTCCAAGCAATGCCCCCGGTTCCCCAGGTTCCCCGCCCCGGTGCCTCATGGCAGTAGTAAGCAATGCCAAGCAAAGCCTGACAACGCCAAACAATGCCAATCAATGCCAAGCAATGCCATGCAAAGCCAAGCCGTGCCAAGCAAAGCCAACCAATGCCAAGCAATTGGAGGCAATGCCAAGCAATGCCATGCAATTCCAAGCACGATCAAGCAATGCCAAGCAATGCCAAGTATTGCGCAAATGCAATAGGAAATTTTCCCCTAAGTGGGGTCGCTCCGGGTGTATTGCTTCGCGCGCGTTCCCGAAGCCGAACCCGAACCCGAACGTGTAACCCCAACAAAAACATTACTTACTACTAGGACTATTGCTGCTACTGCTACTGCTATTGCCGCTACTGCTGCGACTACTACTGCTACTACTACTACTACTACTACTGCTACTACTACTACTACTACTACTACCACTACTACTATTATTTCGACTACGACTACGACTACTACTACTACTACTACCACTACTACTACTACTACTACTACTACTACTACTACTACTACTACTACTACTACTACTACTACTATTACTGTATTACTACTACTACTACTACTACTACTGCTGCTGCTGCTGTTGCTATTCGTATTACCACTCCAGCTATTCTTATTACTATTACTACTACTATCACTATTACTACCACTACTAATACTATTAATATTACAACTATTACTATCAGTCTTTTTA